CCTAGTCCCCTAGCTCTTGGTGAGGTTTCAAACCTTCTCTCCACCTTCAATCTTCAATATCCACCCACCCCCAGCCTCACAGCTGTTCGCCTCCTACTTCCCTGACGAGAACGTTCTCAAGCTCCCACTCCCAAGTGTGCTTACCCTCCAGCATCTCCCTACTCCCCGTTTGCACAGATGTGCTATCCACGCTCCTATCTAAAGCTGCTACCTCCATCTGTGCACTAGAGTGGGTCACCTCTTCCTGCTCAAGGACACGGCACCATCATCAACTTTTTTCAGTCTCTACTAGACCATTCCCATTGGTATACAAATATCTGTTACTGATGCAATCTTAAAACAGAAAACAGAAAAGAGCCTCTTGATCCTGCTTCCTCATTCTTCTGCCCTTTTGCACACCTTCGCAGCAAAACTCAAGTGCTGTCTATACCTCCCTTCCTCTCTTGAATCGGCTCCATTCAAGCTTTTGCACTCCCCTCCCCCGACCCCTGCCACACACACCTTGACCTCTTGCCAAGGTCCCCAGTGGCCTCCAAGCTGCTACATAAGTGGTCATTCTCAGCCCTCATCTTATTTTACCTCTCAGCAGGCGGACACAGCTGCCTGCTCCCTTCTCCTTCATTCCCTTTCTTCACCTGGCTTCCTGGACACCCCCTCTCTGGGTTTTCCTCCCATCTCACTGCTCCCCACTGCTTTCTCCTTGGCTATCTCCTTCTTGTCCCCACGCTTTAAAGGTCCATCCTTGTACCTCTTCTCTATCTGTACTCAGCCCCTGGGTGGTCACAAGCAGTCTCATACCATCTAGATGCTGAAGACTCCCAAATTTACACCTCCAGCCGAGACCCTCTCCTCAATTCCAAACTCACCTACCCCCAAAACCTTAGATATACAATAGACATCTCAAACTCAGGCCTAAGACTGAACACCTAATCTCCACCCCACCCTCCCCAAATTTACTCCACCCTTGGCCTCCCCACCCCAGCTCATGGTGACTCTGGAGTTAATTTTTTTTTTAAATGTATGTTGAAACTTATGTCTTCATTGGGCACTTACTCAGTGCCAAGCTCTGAGATACAATAATAATGGCACAAAGCTAGGACTTGAAAACTGGGTAGGAATTACCTAAACAAAGGCAAAACCAATGGTCTGGGTGGGGAACATGTATACACAAAGGTCCTGGGGTGGGAAGGCACTTGGAGAGCTGAAGGAATTAAAAACAGCTGGGGGGGCTTCCCTGGTGGTGCAGTGGTTGAGAGTCTGCCTGCCGATGCAGGGGACGCGGGTTCGTGTCCTGGTCCGGGAGGATCCCACATGCCGCGGAGCGGCTGGGCCCGTGAGCCACGGCCGCTGAGCCTGCGCGTCCGGAGCCTGTGCTCCGTAAAGGGAGAGGCCACAACAGTGAGAGGCCCGCGTACCGCAAAAACAAACAAAGAAACAAATAAACAAACAAAAAAACAGCTGAGGTGTTGTATGTGAAGGAGGAGGGATGGGAGATCAGGCTGGAGGAATTGCAGGAACCACTTTCTGCGGGCTCTTACTTCGCAGTTGCCTTGTCTGTTTTTCCCATCCCACCCAACCCCACGCGCTATCAGTACTGCGAGCACAGGAAACATATCTACCACCACCGCTCATAGGTGATTCATTCATTTAGTAAATACTTACTGATCACCTAGTAGGTACCTGGCACTGTTCTAGATACTTGGGATACATCGATGACCAGAACAGATAAAGATCCCGACCAACTTGGAGTTTACATTCTGGCAGGAAAGGCAGGCGTAGTACCTAAGTAAATGTCCTATTATGTTAGAAGATGACCAGTACTATGAAAGAAGAAGTCAAGCAAGGTAAAGGGTATAGGGGTGTGAGGAAAGGGGTGGGGCAGGTGCAGAATTAAATAGAGAGGGCAGGGTAGCCTTCTTGAGGAGAGATTTGAGCAGAGGCATGAAGGAGGAAAGGGAGCAAGCCTTTCCATTATTAGCGATAATCTAAGGGAAGATTATTACTGGAAGAGGGAACAGCATGTGCAAAGGCCCAAAGGTGGAAACACCACTGACATATTCTAGGAAGAGCAAGGAGGCTGGTATGACTGGAGTAGAGTTAGTGAGGGGAGACAGGTGGGTGACAAGGGGATGTAATGATGAGAGAAAACGGGTGGTGGGGGCAGATTATATAGGCCTTTAGGTCATTGTGAGGATTTTGGCTTTTGCTTTGACTGAAGCCATTTGGAGGGTTTGAGCAGAGGACTGACAGAATCTGACTCATGTTTTAATAGGATCAGTACAGATGCTCTGTGGAGGATAGTCCCTCAGGCATGAGGGACTAAAGTAGAAGCAGGGGTCACAGTTAAGAGGTGAAAGATAACTGGTACCTGAGACCAAGGTGGCATTAGTTGGGAGAGAAGGAAGTGCTCAAAATTTGGTTATATTTTGCAAGTAGATCCAACAGGATTTCCTGGTAGATTAAACATGGGACATGAGAGAAAGGGCTGTCAAAGAAGACTCCTCTCATCCAAAGCAGGAACTTACTCCACACTGCTCCAGACTCAGCCAACAAACCTCCTTTACTGGGGAACTCAGTGTTCGAGAACAAAAAAGGTTTTTCTTTCAAAGAATATAAACAGACAATTCACAAGAGAGACGCAAATGCGCAAAGCAATCCACAAAGAGGTGTCTGACCTTATTAATTATGGAATAAATACAATACAGCAAGGAGACAGATTTAGTTTCTCAGTTTAGCAGAAGTGAAAATTGATATCAACTTTCTGGAGGGCAGTTTAGCAACAAATATCAAAACTTAAAATATATGTTCGTTTTGACTGCTGGTAGTTTACCCAAGGAAGGACTATCACAAGTGTGTTGCTGACACTTTTGTTTATATTTGAAAATTCTGGAAATAAATGTCCTACAATAGAGAACTGACTAAATAAACAATGGTATAGCTATAGAGAGGAATATCATATAGTAATAAAAAGTAACGCAATACAGGTATTCTTGGTTGCTTGCAAAGAAGAGGATTGAGTTGCTGGGGACAGAAATGACAGGAGTAGGGTTTTTGGGGTTTTTCTTGTTTTTTTGGAGTAGGGTTTTTTAAAACATACTTTTTGATAACTGCAATTTTTAATTTGTGTGAATACATGTAATATTCAAAATAATAAATGAAAATTTAAATATCTGTAAAAAAAGTATTGTAGATCTCTATTAGTTGTTACGGGAGGATGTCCACAATGTTGAGTGAGAAAAAAAGTTACCAAATGGCATATAGAATACAATTCATTTACATGAGATTGTATATTATATACTAAAAATATAGGTATAGATATAAGTATAGAAAGTTATTTCTGGAATGATGCTCCAATTTAATAATAGTGGTATCTCTAGAAGAAAAAATTTAGAGATGATTTTTACTTTTTTGCTATACACTTTTCTGTATTGTGTGGATTGTTTATAATGAGCATGGATTTTTTTTTTTATATTATCAGGGGAAAATATTGTAGGGTTATTTTCTTTTAAAAAGGAAGTGCAAAAAAAAAAAAAAAAAAAGGAAGTGCCTCGGACTTCCCTGGTGGTGCAGTGGTTAAGAATCTGCCTGCCAATGCAGGGGACACGGGTTCGAGCCCTGGTCAGGGAAGATCCCACATGCTGCGGAGCAACTAGGCCCGTGTGCCACAACTACTGAGCCCACAGGCCACAACTACTGAAGCCCGTGAGCCTAGAGCCCATGCTCCACAATGAGAAGCCTGCGTACTGCAACGAAGACCCAACACAGCCAAAAATAAATAAATAAAATAAATAAATTTATTAAAAAAAAAAGAAAACTAGAAACAGAACTACCATATGATCCAGCAATCCCACTCCTGGGCATATATATCTGGAGAAAACCATAATTTGAAAAGATACCTGATACCCTATGTTCATAGCAGCACTATTTACAATAACCAAGACATGGAAGCCACCTTCGACAGAGGAATGGATAAAGAAGAAGTGGTACGTGCATACAATGGAGTGTTACTCAGCCATAAAAAAAGAACGAAATAATTCCATTTGCATCAACGTGGATGACCTAGAGATTATCATCCTAAGTGAAGTAAGTCATACAGAGAAAGACAAATATCATATGCTATCACTCATATGTGGAAACTATTTTTTTTAAAATGATACAAATGAACTTATTTACAAAACAGAAACAGACTTACAGACATCGAAAACAAACTTATGGTTACCAAAGGGGAAACGTGGTGGTGTAGGGATAAATCAGGAGTTTGGGATTAACATACACACACTACTATATATAAGATGGATAAGCAACACAGGTCTACTGTATAGCACAGGGAGCTCAGTGTTCTGTGATAACCTATATGAGAAAAGAATCTGAAAAAGAATGAGTATATGTATATGTACAACTGAATGACTTTGCTGTACACCTGAAACTAACACAACATTGTAAATCAACTATACTCCAATAAAACTTTAAAAAATAAAATAAAATCGCTTTCTTTAAAAGGGAAGTCAAAACAGTATCTATTTGATAATGTGGTGAGGATTAAATGAGGCAATGCATATGAATCGCTTATCCCAGGCTGGTATACAATGCTAAGTATTGAATAATTTATTCTTATTTTGCCAAGTACACAGAAGTTGAAAGTCTACGATCACCGTGGTTTTGTTGTTGTTGTTCACCTCCACACCACGAGGGGCGCTGCCGCCCCCAGGCTGACCAGGCTCAGGGTCAGGGAAGTCTGTCTAGCCGCGGTCGCCGCCATCTTAGGACACAGGCCTTCCACACCCACCGTGTGCGGCTGCCTCGTGCAGTCTTAGAAGCAGACCCGCTCGCCAAGACACCCAGCCTCTTACCTCTTTAGGCGCTCCTTTAAGTAAGCTGTATTCTCGAGGGCGTTTTAATCTCCTTGGAAACGCTAAAATCGGCGTCTTCCGGGAGCCTGCCTCGCCCCGTGACCGCAGACGTACACTTCCGGGGACACGTGCGTGACCCGTCGCCCCGCCCCCTCCTTCTCTTTCTTTCTGGTGGCTGATTCTGGATAAGACGAGTAGGTAGGAACCCTGGGCGAGGAAAATCGGGTGGCATCCTGCGGCACGGGGACCCGCCGGGGCCGGGGGCGCGGGGCTGGGGTCTTTCCGTGGAAGACAAACCAAGTGCTGGGCGAGAGGAGCTCGGCGGGCCGACCCAGACTCTGGTTCGCGCCCCGTCTCGGGAGGCGGCGGTCTTGCTTCAGGGAAAAGCCGGTAAAGCAGGGGTGAGTTCAGGTCTAGCCTCGAAGGCATAGGCCCTGCGCCACGACCACACCTGCGCTGAAAAGGCAGCACAGCATGGTTGATTGGGAGAGGAGCGGAAAATTTAGTCCTTTGTGACCTCCCACCTTTACCCCACCAGCTTTTTCGTGAGCGGTCGGAGGCCGGTCCCCTGATTTCTAGTTTATTTTCGATCTGGAAAGTAAGAGTAGTCGTAGGAATTCCGTGGGGATGTAGTGAGGATTCCAGAGGGGAATGCAGAAAAAATGGCCCTTCGTTAGGTGTTTCCTAAATCTCAGTGACTGCTAAGTCGGGCACGTTTTAATTTCTGGGCGCTCAGGGCAGGTTTCTCAAAGCCAGAAATTAGGAGAAGGCTTAATTTCTCTTAACATCAGTGTTTGTTGAGCATCTACCGTGCGCCTATTGCCGCTGAAGGCCGAGACGAGGGACGTTCAAGTCTTGCCACGGTGGGCTGGGAGGTGCAGCGCAGGGTTAGCCTCCAGCAAGCGACACCTGGAAATCCTGAGCGCTGGCGTGTTCGCGGCGTGGGGCGGGAGCGCAAGTGCCCGCGTGTCCCGCGCACCTTTCTCGGGGGAGCAGTTATTCCCAGAGAAGTAAACCTTGGGGTTTTCTGTCGTTAACACTGGGATTCTTTTTTCTTTCCTTAAGAAATGGCACCTCGCAAGGGGAAAGAAAAGAAGGAAGAACAGGTCATCAGCCTTGGTCCTCAGGTGGCCGAAGGAGAAAATGTATTTGGTGTGTGCCACATTTTTGCATCCTTCAATGACACTTTCGTCCATGTCACCGATCTTTCTGGCAAGTGAGTACCTAGGTGGAGAGGCCCAGGACCCAATTAACAAGGGTTGGGGTTAGAAACGACCCTGGAACTGGGTGGCAGTTTAAGGGAATCTCTTGAAATAAATGTTGTAAAATGTTCAAATAAGGATATGTGCTTGGTTGATGAATCCACAGATGGTGTGATCTCCTAGGTACTGGGGTTCTGAGAGAGAAGGAGACATTTTGTGCTCTTATGGGCTTACAGCATGGGGACCTCGTATGTAACATGAGGAGGAATTACTCATGGAGTAATAGGAGGATTAAATGTAAAAGTACATGTAAATCGTCGATACAGAGCTTAGTTATCTAGGATCTGAACCCCATCAAGGCAGAGCCCATGGCAGTCTTGTTAGATCAGGATGCATGTTCAATTGACCTTCATTCTCTGCCCTACCTGAGTAGTAGTGCTTTTTATTCATTAGGATGTGGTATGCACTCTGAATCCTTGTTGGGTAGGAAAGAAAGGACCCTGTGCATTTGTCCCCAGGGAAACCATCTGCCGTGTAACTGGTGGGATGAAGGTGAAGGCTGACCGAGATGAGTCATCTCCATATGCTGCCATGTTGGCTGCCCAGGATGTAGCCCAGAGGTGCAAGGAGCTGGGCATCACTGCCCTCCACATCAAACTCCGGGCCACAGGAGGAAATAGGTAAGGCTGGGACTGGGCAGTGAGGTCACTGGGCTTGGGCAAGACATCCTAGGTGTGTACATAATTAATACAGGCATACCTCAGAGATGCCGTGGGTTTGGTTCCAGACCACTGTGTTAAAGCAAATATATCAGTAAAGCAAGTCATGTGAATTTTTTGTTATACCAGCATGTATAAAAGTTACGTTTACACTGTACTGTATGTAGCCTACTGAGTGTGCAGTAGCATCATGTCTTTAAAAAAAAAAAAAAAACCAGTGTACATAACCGTAAGTTAAAAATAATTTGCAACTAAAAAAAATTTCTAACTATCTGACAATGAAGGGTTGCCATAAGCCTTCAATTTGTTTTTTTAAAAAAGGCATTATCTGTGAAGTGCAGTAAAATGAGATATGCCTGTAACTGGTTCCTGCACCCTCCCCTGCGCTAACTTACTGTGTTAATTGAGCACTCAGCATACGAGGTACTGTGTTCTAAGTACTAGAAGAGAGAGATGGGGGAAAATAGATATGGTCTCCATCCTCTTATGTGGCTCTTAGGCTGGTGGAGAGACAGGCTTTAAGCAGTATAGAGAAGGGGAGCATGTGGTTTCTTTTTGCAGCAAGTGCTGGGAAGCAAAAATGTGTCAAGGATAGGTTGGTAATAAAGTTTAAACTAAGACCTAATGTTGTGGTTAGAAGTCAGTCCAGTGAAGGAAGGACAGGGGAGAGTATTCCAGCCAGGAACAACTGGAAGGAAAAGGTCTTGGGGTGGAAATGAGCTTGGCACATCTGTGGAAAAGTGGCATGAGGTGTGATAAGATAGGAGCGGGTGAGGTCCTGCTGGGTCTTGAAGAACCTGGTTAAGATTTGGACTTGGGCTGGGGG